ACTGATGTGGGATGCAAGATTGTGTTGATGCAGAAAGCTCGGCCGCACAGGTCTGAATGGTGAAAGAGTCTCCCTGAATGGTGGCGAGCGGGGACATGAAACTCTGCGTTCAGAACTGTTGGGTCACCGGGTGAAAGCCGCTGCCATAGAAATATGTCTGCTCCACAGCCAAAATCTGGAGTAGCCACATGAAAGGGTCTCCACTGGCACAGGAAGAGGTTCTGTCTAATTCTGTGGGTTACTATTACAGACATTTGCTAAATCAGAACCTAAAGAACACACAGACTGTTTTCTCACAGCAGCGGCACGCCAAGACGTAGACAAAAAGAGATTATTAGGATATCTGTGGGAAACCAGTCTGGAAAAGTCCACTCGGTAGGAAGTTGTGTAATTGTTAGCCTCCACTTTAAGATCAGTTGGACACTGTCAATATTTTGCTGTCAACAGTGAAATAAAATATGTTGAAATACGGCACAGGAAAAAAAAAAAATGCGCTGAAGTGTTGAAACTTCTTTTCAAACACGCAGATTCATACTGTGCAGAGCGGTTGGTTTAAAACAGCTCAACATCAGATGGAAAAACCATGATAAAAAAGGGTCAGCAACCCAATAAAGTAAATTACAAGAGGCCCTTCCATACGTTTAATGCCTCCGCTGTTGTTCAGGGACCTTGAATGTGAACACTATAAAACAGAGGGGAGAAAAGGAAAAAGAGTAAAGGGTGAAACAACCAGCAGCTAAACCCCACAACTACTCCAGCGTGGCCCACACAAAGTTGTGTAGTTTGTTTGTAAGAAGACACTTCCTTATCCAGGCTGTCTATTGCACCTTTTCTGTTGCGTTTTGTCTGTGAGGCTAAAAAAAAAATGTCACAAGAAACTTTCCCTGGGGCAGTTGCTTAGAAACATCATCAACTACTTGTGTTAACACTAAATTTAGTTTAATTGCAAATCTCCCCAACACACAACTACAGTCTATTCACTTCTCTTCTTCAACAAACTCTATGGAACTGAAAGTACAGCACTTCCCTGCATTTGCAGCACCAGACCCCAGAAAGGAAGCACACAGAAGAAAAAACAAAACAAAAACAAGCTAATTTGCTGTCTATGCTTTAGGAATGGTAATGCAGAGGGCAGCCTCGGGCCTCTGTGGACAGTGATTATGAGAAGCCACGAACTAAACTGGACGAAGCTAACCAGAATTAATCCGCCTGGCCAGTCAGACAGGATAGATAGCAACATCTTTTCTTTTCTTTTTTTTTTTAACTGTGTAACAAAAGAGCTTGCGTTAAGAGGATTATTACCGCGGCCTCATCTGCGTCTAAATGCAAAATGCCAAATGTTTGCATGTCAGGGTCGTGCACCTGTCCAGTGGGATGAGACCATGTTTGGAGATATTTTTAAAAGACAGTTTAGAGATAACTTAGTTGAATTTGCCTGCAGGAGTGTTACAATACCGTTCCCAACCATTTCAGCTCAGTGCAGATTAAGCTGCAGTCTGTACCCCACAAATTGATCCTCTGCTTGCGCACAAGGGGGTGGCTTGATTTAACATACACGCCAGGGCTTACGGACTCAGGAAACAAATAACCTTAAGTGCTCAATGTCTATGTCTGCTTCACATATCCTCATATTCTCTGGAAAAAAAAGAAAAAAAAACTTAATCCCCTCTTTATGACAAGCTGTCGAGGAGTTTGGACTGTCTACTGGGGACCAACACCAGGATTTAAGGTTTCCAAGCCTTCTCATATTAAATTAAGCGCAGTGGCACTCTAAATCTCAGACCAGCAATGCACTCTGTTAGACAACAGGATATAAGAGGCTATGGGTTAGATGGCTACTTCCAAAGGCCACACACAATGACCCAGGCGGAGCATCGTAACTCATCCGCCCGTATTGGCCTCCTCCACTTCAATCCTGCCCAGTCGGCTCTCCGTTTCATCTCTCCTCTACACCAGCATTCTGAAATGCAGTGAGAATTGAGTGATTGACCTCAAAGGTACCAGGCACTCCCCATTTCTGCCTTCTCTGCTTCACAGACAGCCGTAAAAACAAGCACAGGCTTGTGAGGGAGCACTCTAGGTCAGGTCTGACCCACCGGCTGAACAGCTGAGCCTGCAGTCCAACTCAGAGCGCAGGGTTTGTAACTCAGCGTTTTCATTCACACCCTCCTTTGCCTTCGCACCCCTGAAACCTAATAGTGGTCTCTTCCACGCCTGTTCCCATGTCACATTTAGCATTTAATCTTGTCTGAACAAATCCAGATTGCTGTTTGTTTGCTGGCTCCACCATACAGAAAGTAATAAACACTAAATCTTTAAAGTCTTCGATTAGCTTTGTGTAGTGAAGCAGATATTGAAAATCCATTTTCAGAAGAGTGGGAAGAAAAGCTAATGAGCAAGAGAGAAATATTCATGTACGGGCTAAAAAGTAATTTGGTGTAAAGAAATTTGTCATTTGAAGTTGACTTTGTCTGCAGAATAATGCTGAGATCTAAAACAAAATTTCCTATTTTCTGCAAACAAACTCTCATACATTGTATAAAATGCATTGGCAGTACATCTATCAAATCCAGAACAAAGCAAAAAAGACACAGTGACCTCTTCCTTCTTGTGTGGTTGTAACCATCATCTTGAATGAGTCATGCACTAAAATCATAAAATAGGGGCTGTGGGTTTTGTTTTTTCAACTTGATTGTCTCCGTTTGTGTGTGGCTTCACCTCTGACACGAGGGATTAACAGAAAGATCCAAGTCTTTGACACTGCTGTGCATTGGTGAGTGCAATTTTCCCATCATTGTGGCGGATCAGAATAGCCCTGAAGCCTAGAATGGTCACCCTGTGTCTCTGTGACAATGCTTTAGTGATCCACACACTCTACAGTAATGGCTGTTCGTACAAAGACCTTTTGACGTTGAGCTTTGAAGGGGGGGGGGGGGGTATGCCATCGCTGTGGTCCAGCACTGCCAACACTCTGTGTCCACTAGCCTTTGACTGCCTGCCTCTGCAGCAGCTGGCCCCTCCCTTCGCAACTCCCCACTTACATGCAACCCCTCTCGATACGCTCAGGAGAGCCTCTTCTCTGTGTGCGCATGTATTTTTTTTTTTTCAGGTTTGCTTAATTGACATTAAGATCTATGAGCTGGGAATGCGCTCTGGGTACCTGGGAGCTGGAGAAGGCGGCGGGAGAGAGGAGAGGCACAAAAGACAGAAAGTGGCACCATTCATGCACCCCTTGAAGGAAGCACTGTGCTGCAAACATATGCACTGCTTCCACCAGCTAATTACTACTGCAATGTGGCTCATGCTGCAGAAGAGGAGAGAAAGGCTTGTAAAAAAAAAAGGGGGGAAAAGACAGATAAGTTGATGCCATGTGTGAATAAGATGTGTTGCACGCTAATGCTGCTGGTCCTCATTCTGTCTGAGGGGCGGCATGCTGCCCATACATAATGCAAAGCTGTCCAGCAGCGTGCAGGTGGCAGCAATGGGAAAAGACCCCCCCTCCAACTGTGCACTGAGCATTGCCCAAGACGCTGCATCCATCACCACCCACTCCCTCACCATCCCCACCATGCCCCTTCCTCCTCCCTGCTTCCACTCTCTCATCACTTGTGTTCACACTCTAATCACGGTACAGCCAATCTTCTGAATTCCAGCTAGATATACAGCTATGCAGATCAGATTTTTGTAATGGGAAAAACCCGGAAAGGCACGGCCATAACAGAGAGCAACAAAGTTGTGTCTGAGCAGCTTAATGAGGGCTTTCCTTTGATCAAAGCCGGAGGAGGTGTAAGGAGACGGGAGGACAAATCGCCACTTTAGAGTGGGACTGACTCATCCATGACTGAGGAGGAGTTATCCGCTCTGACTGAGTGGTGCTTGAAGATGCTAAGATTAGATACGCCACTGTACATCCACACATTCTTGGCGTGGCTATATAGATTGAGCAGCTAAACCCATCCTGTTTTAATCAGGCGCCCAAGGCTTCGCTTCACCCTCTGCAGCGGACGGACTGGACCTGAAGCCTTCAAGACGATGAGCTTTCAGCATGTGGCTACTTAACAACACATTGCATTGTCTGGAGGAGCCCCTCCTTCTTTTTGCCAAAGGCTACTGAAAAAAAACCCCAACCAATTATTCCAGTGTATTAAAAAAGAAGATTGTGAGATAAAAGTCTGCCGTCTGGCTCATCATGGTGTGTATTTCTTTCATGGAAACTGCTTCTGTGCCCCCAAATCAAGAGATAGAGATGCTTTTCACTTTAACCAGGAAAGCATGTCAGAGGAGCAACACTCTCCCTGTGAGCACATTTGCCTCCATGCTCATGCTGCAGCAATATTCTTAACCCATTCAGAACCAAAGTTTAATGTCCAAACCTTGAAAAATCTCACAGCTAAAGCCAGTGTCCTGTATGGTTTACACAGTGAAGACATATTCGTTTTTTTCTGTTTTTTTATCATTAGAAAGATGAACAGTTCCTTTCCATGCATTTTGATAAAGATTAACCAAGAAGTATCATTCAGTAAGTGGCCCTCACGTCTTTCTCACAAGATAATTCTCAAAAGCAAATAAACGGACTGTGCTCTTGCCTTTGGTTATTTTAATCTACATAATCCCCATAAGATTTTATCTGACTCTGCTCCATTTACAGTGTTGAGCATCGGTGTGAATGATGTGAGTATGAGACAAAACGGGAAATGCGGGCACTTGAGAGGGACTAACAGCCCTCATCACACAGCATCCCACTGTAAGGTGCATGCAGAGTCCCTGGAACAGCCAGGAGCCCAGGACCGCATCCCATCCTGCTGAGGGATGAAACATCTCAGAGAGAGGAGCCCCCAGCCCACAGGCTACCTACAACCGGCGTGAAATCACGCAGCCTGGTTCGTGGGTGGAAAGAGGGCTGATCGCCTTAATTGATCGATCAACAATCTTCCACCAGTCAAAAATCATTACGCTGAAGGATTTGATGAGCGATAACAGAAGGCGTGTGTCTGCCTGATTCAATCAGCACTCAGCACGAGACATAGAACGATGAGAGCACCTATAGCAGACGCGTGTTTTAAGCAGATAGTCCACTGCGCTTGCCTGGACAAACCCATTGTTCCGCCCGCCCTCCTCAGCTGAGGTGAGCTGGTTGCGCTCCGAGTCAATTAGCGCACAATCACACCCGCACACAGGCGGGAGAAAACTGTTGTGCTGCCTCTAAACGGGCCCTTTAGATGAATAAAAAAGCATTCCGACCAAAGCCAGCTCTAACACAAAGTGTGAAGTGAGGTTTCTTACCAACTACAGTGAATCTGTCCATGTAATTGAGGACGTTCCCAAAGCTGAGGATCCCGGCGGCGGCAGCCGGCGAGCGGCATCTGAGCAGCGCGGCGCGGAATTTCTGGCCCGGTTTGCAGGGGTGAAGGTCCGGGCTGGATTTCAGTCCGGGACTCATGCTGCCCGACAGCGTGCGCACCTCATCCGAACTGCTGCAGCCCTCTATCTCACATCCATCGCTTTCCACACACATTTTCGGGCACGAAAGATCCAGCGCAGAAGGTGAGAGGTTTGGAGAAGGGGAATAGTTGAACAAGGACCACGCTCAACGAGGGGCCAGTGATTGGAAGTGAAATTAGGCGCAGTGAAAATTTTGTCTTGTTTGTTGAAGCACAGGAGACGCTCTTCTCGGGATCATATTTTTCTAGCAGTGCGCGGTGACGGACGGCTGTGCGCTCCTTAGTCTCTCTCTCTCTCTCTCTCTCTCTCTCTCTCTCTCCCTCTCTCTCCCTCTATCTCTCTCTGTCTCTCTCCAGGACTAAGCGCTGGTGTAGGGGTGTGACCTGGCTTTAACTCCGCCCCTGTAACCCTGCAGAAAACGGCGGTGCCGCACCTGACAGTGGATGCCGGGCAGTGTGGGGAGGAGGAAAAGAGCCAAAGAAAGAAATTGTCAGGAAACGGACGAGTGGAAAATGGATATATTCATCGTGTAATTAAAACACTCTCACCTCTATCACGGAGCAAATGCTGTCTCATTTTAAATTCGTTTAAATGATTTTAACTAAATAACCAGGTCAATAGGTAGCATAAACGTATCCTTCAGATGTGGGAGAGTCATAATTATCTTTACATAGTGATATATTATTCGTAAAAGCTACCAGGTTGGTGAATATTTAAATTCCATTTTTCGTAGTATCCCTATTTTTCGTCTCGAGTGTCCACATTTTATGACTGTACATAACTTTTACTGAGTGGATTTTTTAAAGCACAGTGCACATCCACTACTAATCAAATTCAGGTGTACTTATTGAAATTCTAAGAACATTAAGTTGCTGAGGTTCAGAAACTAAAGGAACTGGTCGGTCTGCTAATCTCTTTCAGGTAGGAAGACTTTGTGTGATTAGGTATGTCCTGTCAACAGCTTCTGAATCATTACTCATCACAAAAGGTTGAGGAATATTCCATCACTACATTAGCGTGAAAGCAGAAATTAAACAGATTGTATCTCCTCTTATGTTTGTATTGACGTGAAGCACTTTTGAAGATGTGTCTATGTACTCAAAAACTCACCATCTGGTTGGAAAACTGAGAACTGTATTCCAATTTTTGTTTTTAACACTCATGGAACATCTGAGATCAGTTTTGCAAATAAATACATATGAGTACACTGTCCCAGGTAAATTAATGATCACCTCTACACAAACCTCTCCTGGGTTAAACTGTTTTGAATATCGAGGAACTGAATTCTCCACAAAGGCCACACCTGAACATGATCAAATTAATAGCACCACATATGAAGCCAAAAAAATCTTTGGTTTGATATATTAGCTGACTACACATATGAACCAATGTTATAAATACTATTTGATATTATTCCATACAAGCAGAAGGAAAATTAAACCAGTTGTGAGAAAGGTCGGCGCTTACAGGAAGAAAGAGCATTGATGGGAAATTATGACACTGCTTTCTTTTCTAAACTGGTTGGTTAGGTGTGGGGAAGCTCCGTCACAGTACACAGTGCACACACAGATGACACCAAGTAAAAAGTGGTTGTTGTTATTCCAGTGATAAGGTCTTCAGTCACACGCAAAGCTGAGCCACTAGGCCAGAGATTTTTTTTCCCAACTTTAAAACGAATGTAAGAGTGTCGGCATCAGATTTTTCACACAAAACTTGGAGTAAATCAGCCATAGAGTTTTCCATCTGCGAAGTCTTTGAGAAGATTTTAATAGTCAGCTCCTCAGGACACAGTGTGTGATTAACGATCGAAAAATGTCTTGTTTGGAATGTATCTTTGTTACCTTTTTTCCATTATTTTGGTTACTTTAATATGAACACATACGCCTTCTGAGTCTCACAGTTCAAGCAATTTCTGTACCGACGTCCCCCAATGGCTCCAGTCCGGTGAAGCCTGTGGCTGGGAGAAGATCAGATTAAATGACTGTAGGGACCTTGCTCTCTGCAGGTCACACGCAAAATCTGCACGAAACCTCTCGCAATCATGCTGCTCTCAGACATCTGGGCTCATTACTCATTGCGGTACTTAGAGGATTGACTTATTATGTAAAATACCAAAACAGTGTGTCCCTCCTTTGAAACTGCCGGTGGGATGATTCTGTATTAGACTTGATAGATGATAAAGGAATCACAGCTGTTTAAGGGAAAGATGAAGCATCAGTCTATAAATGGCTCCACTCCCGCGTGCAGATGACTGCTTCTGTGTCCTCAATGGTCTGTCAGAGGGGAGATGAAAAATATCCAGCAGATTGCTGTCACTTCTCTGCTGTGTGCACAGGAAAACTTTGGTGTTGCCAAGATGAGAATCCCAAAGTGTGCTCAGCCTTACTGACTACATTATCACACAAAAAGCGTCTTGGAAATGCATTACATTTATCCAAAGTGCACCTAAGAGATTTTCGTGAAACAGAGCGAGAACACATGATGTTGTTGATTCAGCGTGAGTCTGGAGTTCTGTGTGTACGTGAAATTTGGGCGTGCTGAGGGGGGATTCCTGACAAGCCTTGTTTGACTGCTGAAAGCCAGAGGGGCTGTTGGCCAAAGCGCAGAACTGGGTCACGGAGTGATGACTTCTTCCAGGAGAAGTCTCCCTCTCATTTTTTTTTTTTTTCCGTCTCAAATAGAAATGGAGTCAAATGGGAGCTTTTATCAAAATTTAAACTAGAAAAAAGAGGGATAAATCTATAAAGGAGATGGAGTTAAAGAAGATTAGTTACTTTGTATTGTGGCATGAATAAAGACTGGATGTTTTGGTTGATTGAGCTCTGCTGGCTTTTGGCATTGAGAGGGTATCAATGTTGAAATTTCAATGCATCCTCAGGCACTGAGCAGACTTGTATTATTTAATTTAGACTGAAATTAGAAAGTTCTGTCAACGAAACCCCCTCCTGGCCTTTGATTCACAGAGCTCCAACGCAATCATCCACTTAATCCCAATAACTTTGATGTCTTAAAACCTTCAGAGTACGATGTAAACACAACAGCCTGGCAGGCTCAGCAGATGAATATCAAGTGATATAGACAAGAATTGCTTTTGTTGTGCCGCAGACTGATTTCAGCAGGAGAGACGATGCAGGAAAAGGGAAGACGGCCCAGCATGCAGGGGGTTCTGTGTGGAGCCCCAGTAAACAGTTGTTCTGGCTCCCTGGCTGGAGCCCCCGGCTCTCCCCCCCACCCCCACCCCGATTCTTTGGCATGTATTTGATATGCTGGTCATGTCTGTGGGATCCTGTGTGTTTTTCTATCGGTGGGCCTGGACCTATCTCTGGGGTTATTCTTCTGTGTGGCTCGGAGCCACTGAGTCACTGCGGCAGCCTTCCTTCCTGTGTCTGCGCGGGGCCAAGTCACCAGTGCAGGATGGGAGATAACCTACTAATCGCTGAGGCCTGCGCCTGCGGGACGATAAGACGGTCTCTTTTTAAATTGTACAGGGGCTGCCAATAAAGTTTAAATGTCCTTTTGACACGTGTGTCTGTCAGCTGTGTGCCTATCAGCTGCTCCTCTGGTACGCACCACTTTGATCCCTCGAGGACCTACAGACTCTTCTCAGGGCAGCAATAACACACGGAATACTGCTGGGGAAATAAATGAATCCTAAACTATTGTATGCTCTAATCTATTGAGGGCTCTATCTATGTGGAAAAATAAACGCCTCAGAGGCAGTAATAACACACACATAACTCTTCCATTGTTGTCTCCATCACCCATGTTTACACACAGTCCAGCAAGAGCATTTTCCTTCCTTCCTGGTACCAAGAAACGGAGCTCTACTGTAACACCAAGTTCATAGAGATTAAGAATGAGCTACAAGATAGTCCAGTGTCCTCTTCCATCCAACGTTTGGCTCTGATGATGAAAAAAGTGCCATCTCTGTCTTTTAAATTTCTTAATGTCCTTTCCTGATGGTGGTCCCTGGTTTACATGATGAAATTAATGGGTCACTTCAGTGTAATACTGTCAGCTTTCTCTCTACGTAGCACGTCATGTTGGTTCTAGCAGATTAGTGACCACACACCATCTAACAGGCATTTTTTCCCAAAGGTAAATGGGTAAACTGGCCCCAGAAATAACTAACTCTTTTGGCATGTGGTGAATTAACCAGAAGTCTACATTTCTACTTGAGCCATTTGAATTATTTGGTGTCACACGTAAAGACATTATGAAGAAAAAATAATTAATTGAATTCCTTACCTGGTCTTCCCAGGAGTGGATATCCAACCAAGTTCACCCCAAGGCCACACTCTGCAATGCTGAGAGAAATTCCTCCCCGGTGATGTGAGACACTGATAACGCCATGCGGAAAATGATTACTTCAAGTTATTGCCGTCAAAGCTTGTTCATTCTGACCCACTCCGTCCATGATGTGGTGTACTAAGTCATGTGCTGCTGTTTTTACTAAGATTGTATTTACCTGATGTTATTACTGGTTAATTGGATGTTAAGAAATAAAAAAAAAATGTATAAAAAGAAAACAATGATATTATTTACATATTAATTATTTGTATTTTTTACTGTAAACATTAAAATTCCAAAGAAATAGTGGGAAACTATAAATCACTAGAATCCCCCAGTCTATAGACTAAGCTGTTACTGTCGGCCTAGTGGTGCTCAGGCAGTCGTGAATGTGAGTAGACAAAGGACCACTCCACGCCTGTTCAACTAACCTACTTTTGTTTTTGGAGCCGTCTTGGGGTCCAGGCGCTGTCATACTGACCATTACTTCATTCGCCCTGACCTCCTGACCTGTGGACTGTCTGTGCTTGTGCTGTACTTGCCTGCAGCTTGCAGGAGCCTGAGGACCCCCTCACCCCCTCTGTTCCATGAACTCCCAGACAGATGAGGCAACGGCAAGAATGTCTGGCAGCTGAGCAGCTGACGATTTGAAAAGATCTGGGCTGATGTCTCCACTTCTTAGAAGTCTGATCAGGGGATATTCTGCACATAGAAGCAGCATGAAGAGACTAAATATAGTACCCAGGGTCAGGGTGTCTTTTTTTATCAATACATTTAATTATTCATTCTACAACTACACCCAAGTTAGACTCCTTGATTCTGGGTCATCGTGTTGATCAGTTGGCTGAGATAAGACTAGTTTGGCCTGACCCCAAATTCTTCAAGGCGCTCTCCTTTTTTCAAATAGATTTTTCCTCTGACTGCAGTCTTCATAATTGGAGGAGTTGGAGTTGCTCTGTACCTGAGGCTGGACAAAAATGTTCAGATCTGAGTGATGCTGTGGCTCATATTTATAGATTGCATAGGTCTGTGTAATTACCCCACCGACATGCCTGCTGCTGGTCTGTGAAAAAGCTCTCTGCAGACCAGCAGTCAGTAAACCTCTGGAGCAGGAATGCTAAATACACAGGTCCAGGCTGCACATGCTATTACTGGGTAAACCTCAGATCTGGCTGCATTCATGCTGCAGTCTATATTTGTGTGCGTTGCTTTTGACAAAGGCATTTCATGTCAGCTTGACAAAGGCATGACTCGATCTACTTACATCATTCACAAAAACAGGAAACATTTTATTCAAATAAAAGGAAAATTACCAGTATTTTCCTAACAGAGATGTTTCTCTCACTCTGTGCCTTTCATTAAAATTCATCGGATAGACAACTGTCTCAACAGCGTTACCCCCTGAGAATCCAATCAACACATTTATTTTTTTCTTGTGTCTCCCAGCAAGAAAACTCTGAGCTGGGCATTTTTGGAACTGAGACAAATATGCATCCATCTCCTTTTTCTTGTCCCGACACAGGACATGCATGTTTGTCATTACTAAACACAGGAAAGGCCAAATGATGTAATTGTCCAGATAAGTGACAGCACAGGGGGTGGAGACAGCCCTTCCTCAATGTGACGTCATGTCACTGCAGCACTTTGATAGCGATAAGCAAAAAGTGCAACTTCACATCCATAAATGTGGTTTGACTCAACTTATCACAGCTCTGTGGAAGTGTGAGTGTAGCGCAAACATGTGTAGATAAGATTTGTCTCCCTTTACAGTAAACATGTGCAATGCTCATTGGCCATTTCTGGTTACTAAAGATATCATGACAGCTCTCTGACTGAGAGCTCCAGCCAGACTGGTGTTTGGTGGCCTCTGTCTGAGGCCTGACTGTTTTCAAGTCTGAAATGCCCCCCATCCTTGAGTAAACACTAACAGTATCCGCTCCCTAGGTTGGTCGGCCCGTGCAATTTATTAGCCATTGTGGCAGTTTCCTGCACAGCCAGGGTCGACAGGGGAAATGGAGAGGTATGCAGATAAAGTGTTCAGAAACATGGCGCACAATACCTATTGTGTTTTAATTACAGGTCAAACTGTTACCTCCAGAATGTTTTTCACATACCTTTCGGTGTGTTTGTGCGTGATCTCCTTGTTATTCAGAGTATTCTGCATGTCATGCTGCCCCGATTACTCCCTTGGTGTGCCGTGTAAACACATAACTTCTGGAAAATTACAAGCTGAGGACTGATAAGTTGAAAAACAAAAGGAAGTACCAGTGAATTCCACAATACATGACCAAACTTTTAACAATGGCTCGGCATCCTTTTGCAAGTCAACAACTTAAACTCTTTCATAGGAAGTGTCAAACTGGAAAAGTCTGATTCTGGTGCAAAATTCCACTTCAGTGTCGTTATTTTTAAACTAATTACAAAATAAATGTGTGGCCCGATTTCTCACTGAACTTGTCCCCAAGAGTGACAGCAACAATGACCTTTGACCTTTAAATGTCCAGAGCACAACAATAGGGACAAGCATTGACCTGTTTTCAAGCTGTTTCACACCTCTGTTGCAGCTCTTTGAGGAGTTTAGAAACTGACTGACAAGTAGCTGTCACACCACAGTGGGGAAATTTGCCCTTATTATCTGATCTGTGCAAACCTTTGACAAAAACAGCCAAGCTTCAAATGATGGATGTCAGCACTGTCCATAAATTCAGCAGAGGTCACACGCTCACAGTCACTGTTTGGAAACAGGAGTTTTTCATATTCATATGAAAAGAAACATGAAGAATTATTCTCCCCTATCAGATAGAAGTGGTTGCCGCTCATGTTTGTGCAAAATTTATTACAGCTTGTGTCTCTCACGTTGCCTTCAATGTGAATGAAAAACTGACGCATGGAATATAAACAACACAAGTAAGTTTGTCTTCAGCTTAAACTGGGACTTCTAATTACCTAATTTTGATATCTTTTCAAATACTTATAATGCAAAGGAACTTGCATGTGAAGAAAATTTTAGAACACAATTCTTCAATGTGATTGTGTTCAATACCAGGCGGTAAAACCATAATTGGAACATTCACATTTGATTCTATTTAATTCGTTCAGTTAAAGTCTTATTTTTAAACTTTCATTTTGATACTTTTCTCTTTTTTTAAATTAGCAGGAAATTCCAAATATCATGAAACCATAGACATAACCAAAGGGTGGGTCTCCTCCTTGGAGATGACATCCCAGAACTTTGCTGAGTGAGTTGAGATCAGCTGTCAACTCAGTCCTTTTACAATATTCTACTTCCTCATCTTCTAAAGAAAAAAATCTTTCTTGTTTGCATTACATTTTGTGTTCAGTGTCATTTTAGACTGTTGAACTTGGCTGGATCTGGTTGAGCAGTAAGAAATTACAGCATTAATCCATCAGCTTGTTTCCTCTGTCACATCATCAAAAAACATGAATGTTAATGAATGCATGAGCAAATTCTACAGCCTTGACAACACCTTTTTTGTCATTGTTGAGCTAATGAAAGTTTTACACATAGTGCTGATTCTTCTGTATCTAAGAGGGCAAATACAGAAGGATAGCTTCATCACAGAAGTCATCGTCTACTTACTCCTTTAATGGACAGCTTGCTTGATGCGATTGATCCAAATTAAAATAAACAGCATGTAATAAGTCAGCTCAAAGTGTTTCACCTACTTCAGAGCAAGGACATTAATCAATAGCCCACATCTGAAGGTGAAAGAGGCTGTGAGTCTGCCAAAAAGCCCCTGAAATTAATACATTCTTTACATTTAAGGGATAAATAAATAAAAACTTAGATTTAAGTTGGGTATAAATAATTTTGCAATCAACTGAATTTTACAGATATTTTTGCTAACTTTAATGCATGCATATTTAACATCAAATACATATCTGAGATCAAAAAATTTATTTTCTTAATGTGTTTAAAAACATTTAATCATTATCTTTACAACTGGCTTTAACAGTTAATTGCAGTTCTTTTTAAAGCAGTTTACATTTCCAATTAAATAACACAACAGGAACACCATTGTAAAATCAGAAAATGATTGTAGATCTTAATAGTCCGTGCATGGACACATGAACATCCCTTATGTCTGGTCTACTGGAGGTCTCAGCAAACATCTGGTAAAACCACTGTGACTCACTAATGGGGATTCTAATGGAAGCATTTTCTCTACAAAGATGCAGCTGCGCCATCTAGTGGACAAAGTGCCAACAATAAAAATGTTACATTTTGTGATCAAACAAAGAAGCTCCTCAAATGTTCTTGCTACCCCATTGGCGTTTAAAAAGGAAAATTACATCATTTCAAGAAAAAAAGCAATGCACAGAATAGGCTGTGTCTATCTTTAAATCTATTGTGCACAAATGGAACAGATGCTCATGGATGGAAGGTTTAATTTGATAATGTCCAGCAGTTCAAGTATTTTTAGCTGGGGTTTTAGGCTGATGGTGTGAAGGCTGGAGCACAGAAAATGAAAAAGTAAATCGTAAAAATAACTGCACAGCTCATTTGAACTTTTATAGTTGTATATTCATCTAAATTTTGATACATAGATATAAAAGGGCTCGTATATCCAATGGTCAAAATGTTTCACTTCCAAGTTTATTCAAACCTAAAAACAATATTTACAGTAAAAATGTAATTACATTCACTTTTCAAGTACACCACACATTGCCACTGAAAAGAAAAGTAATCATTTCAAAAGGACCATTTACACTGAAAATACTCTGAGGTAATACCTTGTTGGGGACGGCAGGCAAACTGATATGAATCTTAATAAATAGGAATCGACTTTTTGAAGTTATAATATATTTCCAGTGTTTAAAAAAAAAAAGTCTGTTCCAAATGTACTAAATAAATAAACTGGTAGATAACAGCTTAAGGCTGAGAGAACACATGACCCTTTGATGGTGAGAGGTTTTCTCTGTACCTTTCAACAGTGTGCTTGTGCAAAGTGACAAAAAGCTAACTTTCCTCCATTGAGCTCCAACACCAGCTTTCTAAACGAGTGACTGTAAGTTTAAGCTCCGCTATACTTTCCACTAAAGGCATGGCTGCTTATACCCATTTTTACTCAATTCTCTTGTCGCCCAGTTCCACGGAGAGCTCAGGTATGGGGACTTGTTGTGGCTGAGGATCTTCTGGAAAAGCACACGCACACACACAGACAGCACATTTTGAATAAAACACATTGGTAGGTGCAAGATCGCATGCATGTGAATTTCTATGATGAGGCCACGCTGTTGTGTTTGCTGTTGTGTTGCGTTTCAATGAAAAGTCCAAAAGAATGGCAAGAATGAAGGCAATTCAGATCCCAACAAGAAACACAATAATGTCTTTGTGAGCTTGTGTCTGAGCTATACTTTTACTGTGTTATTGGGTTATGTGAGCAGATATGGGGAATTTAAGTTTAACTGCTGAAGTAAGAGAGCTATCTTGTATTGAGTGAGTGGAACAGAGAACTATTGTTAGAAAGAGAAAGAGATGGACACACCGGCTGAAAATAACAAGTGACAGGTTATGCACTGCACTTTTGGTGTTGGTGTGTCTGGTGCTATTTTACCTTCAACCAGTCGCAGCACTGCTTTCCTGTCTTCAGTAATGTAGAGTGTTGTGACAAGGAAAAACACTCCACCCAGGATCCCAACAAATGGGCAAACCAGGAGGCTGAATTTCAGGCTGTGGAATTTCCAGTAATCCGTTTGGCCGTTTGATGAGAGTATTGCATCTGAGATCTAGAGCCACCAGTGTAAAAACAACACTAAGAATAAAGAAGAAGCAGCTTGCCAATGTTTTAAACATATAAAAGACTTATGTAGGAATGAAAATGTTTCTGACCACTCCTAACAGGTAGGGACTCCCAGCATCACCAAGAAGATGACCAACTGTGATCTGTAGAGCTTCAGCTGTGGCTCTTCTGGTTGGAACAACAACATACTAAAGAAAGAAAATTAACATGTTGACACCAAGGTTAATAAAACCTATTTGATGTATTTATATAAACAAAAAATAGATAGATAGATAGATAGATAGATAGATAGATAGATAGATAGATA